AAATAATATTACATAAAAAAGAGCAACAATTTGGCAAATAATATACAAGATAACATATAAATAAAAAATAATATTTTCTTATTTTATGCTTGAGCCTTCGCTAAAGCGACGTGGCGGATCACGCTTGGTCAAAGCATCTCGAAAATTCGTGATCCAAAACTGGAGTTCTATATACGATACTCATAAAATAATTAATAAAAGCTCAAACTCAAGAAAACGCCACTTATATTCTGCGAGAAATTTCGAGTTTTCTTACCAAGATGATGATGCTAAACGTGACGATGTTAGCGAAGAAAAGCTGAACTCGTAGCGAATGCAACGAACGCAAATGAATGCAAGCGAATAACTGCAAATGGCGGATTCCGTCGATTACAGAATTGCAAAGAGAATATAAAGGACAATTTTCATGTATCAAGCATCCGCTGTATTATATCAGTAGCCAATGGCTGCGTTCAGCAGAACAACTGCTGAATTGTCGTCTAGTCAACACTTAACGTTGATTTGTTGGTTCTAAAAGTAAGAGCCAATCATGTTCGATTGCTACCAAGCAATTTGTTCTGCTGAACGCGCCCAATGAAAAAATTTTGTTAGAGATAAAAATGTTGTTAGCTAAAATCTCTAGAAAATATGTTTTCTATAAAAATGCACCACAATGCATGCAGCACATAGCATTTTTAATAATTTACTAGATCGCTTGCAAATTGCTGCAACAAATTGCATAGTCTGATACAGGCTTTACTTTACATACTATAGAATGAGCACTGAATCGCTTATTACGAGCCGAGAGAGAACCATATATTGTGTGATGATGTCCTTTTTCGTACAGTCAAGCTCGAAATTGGCAGTACCTATTCCAGTATATGTATTGTTTAATAGTTTCGCATTATAACCTAGAAATTTCTTCATGTGGTTCACGTGATTTTTAACATCGCAGTAGTTGTAAAGAATTACATTTGTAGGATGTATAATCACGTAAGGAGATGTCTGATTGTCTCGGTAAAAATTCATAGGAAATTTTTAACACAATCGATCCATGAACGTGTTTCATCAACTCAGATTAACCATTATATTCATCGTTGGAATGATGCGACATATAAGCGATTTTGTAGTGAAGCCGCAATCAAGATAGAAAACAATGAAGCAAACAATGAAGCAAATATTAGTCCGAAAGATTTAACTCAGCAGAAGTTTGATCAGTTTCTGTCTGATCCTGAAAATAAGAAATTATATGACATATTACAATTAGAAATAAATGTTTTACGATACAATGCAGAGCGTATACCTGAAAATATCGAACCAAAAGATTGGTTAATGCTCTTCACTATGAAAACCAAGTCAAAAAGAAAGTAAGTTTCCTTTTTTTTTTTTTTATATTAGAAAATATTTTAAATAGATTTAAAAAAATAATAAATAGCATTTTTAGTTAATTCTAATAAAAAGATGTCTATAATGTTTTACAGAAAATATCTTCTATTTTTATGGAAAACTGAGAGGTCGAAAGAAAATTTGAAAGCAAAGAAGGAATTAAAGAAGGCTGAAATGCTAACTAGATGGGAAGAAAGAAAAAAAGAAAAAGACCAAGACACTGGTGATATAAAATATGGACTCTTTCAAAATACACTATTTTTGCGTATATATCCAAAGACCATGCATGATTGGTTAAATGCTAGATTAATACGAAATATGATGTTTGAACCAAAACTTGTGTTTGATTGTAGTTATGAGGCTCATATGAACTCAAGTGAAATTCATAATTGCGCCAAACAACTGACCATGGCATTTGCCAAAAATCGCAGTCACGATAGCCCCATGTGTTTTTACTTCTGTAATTTAAACAAAGATGGAATGCTTAAACAGTTCTTCCACCGCAACATGCCTAACTTAATGGATGATGATTTTCCAGCTTTTGTAACATCGCAATCCTATTTAGAAATTTTTCCAAAAGATCAGTTAGTGTATCTTACTCCACATTGTAAAACAGATATGGTTGAATATGATCCTGATTTGGTATACATCATAGGTGCAATGGTAGACAAGGTAAATTTTAAATGATAAAACACTATATTGCAAATATGTTATATATGGCTTGTTTGTTAAATCACTTGTCTGTTTATAGAGCAATCCACAACCCTTTTCTCTAGCAAAAGCCAAAAGGTATGGCATTCGCATGGCTAAATTGCCCTTAGAGAAGCATTTAGCATGGGGCACAAGTTCCAATAAAAATTTAACCATTGATCAGATGACGACAATATTATTGGACTTAAAACATACACGAAATTGGGAGAAAGCGTTAAAACAGAATGTACCATGTAGAAAGTTAAAAGAAGCTAGAGAAAATGCATTACAAATGAAAGTGAACAAATTTTCACGCTTTCAAGCACAGAATTTTCAGTCTCAAAATATAGAATCCAATATTCAGACTCAAAATACAGAATCCAATATTCAGACAGAGTTAACATTTCATAATAGAAAAAAAATGTAATATATTATTAAGAAAAGTTTTTTAATGTAAAATATGTAAAATTACATGGTATAAGAAAAGCTCGTCTATTATGATATATTTATTTCCTTTTCAAACTTAATATTAATTCTAAGATTTTAATGCTTAATAGCTAAATTAAATGTTTACAATATTTCTTTATATTGAACTAAATTACAAAATGTATAAATTTATATGGTTTGTATAAATCATTCTCATCATATCTTTTTGAGTGAAACTAAAGTCTCTAGCAAGAAAATCTTTCTATTGGATATAACGGACGTAGTGTGAACCCTCCATTACTACATGGAATTATTGCTATATTGTGGCATTGCCGCATTGACCGTATTCTGTGTACACAATCGATAAGGCACAAGATTTTCGAATCTAACCTCATATTAAAACAATATTATTTTAATGCAATAATTATAAAAAGTCATAGGAAAATATGGCGGGAGGAAAAAATAATCAAACTGGATTCCAACCGGTAAAATACTAATATAAAATATTGAAAATGAAACAATTATTGCTCCAAACATGATCTAACCTGCGATGTTACAGGATTCGGATGTACATATTACTTACGAAGAACAACAGAAGATTAATAAATTTGCGAGGCAAAACGCGAAATTGGAAGACTACAAAGAAGAACTTAAAGTCAAACAGGTAATTTAATTAAGATGTTCTGTTAAAACTTTTTATCATTCTGTTGACCTTATTTGGTCATGAGAAATTTGACATACATTACAGATAGCAATTGGTTCTTTATAATTTACAGAACGAATTAAAAAACTTAGAAGATGCTTCTGACGAATTGGCTCTTATGGATGATGATGCAAAGATACCTTATTACATAGGAGAAGTTTTTATTTACAAAGTTCTTGAAAAAACCCAGGTAATCAAATAACAGTAATCATGATAGTAATAGTTTTCGATATCATTTTTGTTAAAAAAGATGAATATTTTAGTTAAAATTGAAAAAAGTATGAATTTAACTTGTTTTAACTTTATAATATTATTATGTTATTCTTTATTTTTTCTATTAAAATTACTAACAAGTATTTTTTTTTTTAGAATTGTTTGGAAGAGGCTAAAAATAAGAAAAAAGCAGAGATTGCAAATTTAGAAAATAAATGCACAGATTTGAAAAGTATTATGAGCGAATTAAAAACGCAATTGTATGCAAAGTTTGGTAGCCGCATTAATTTAGAATCTGAAGAATCAGATTAACTTGTTTTTTCAAGTATGTCTATTTTTTCATTGATATTAATATTTTTTAAGAATTGAGTATATTCTTATGTATGTTACTAAAATTTGTTAGTGCAAGTTCACTCATTTAAATCTATAATATTTGCTAAATAAACCACTACATCCACATCTATATCTACTTGTTACATTTTTTATAATATAATTTTTAAAAAGAATTGTTAATTCTTTAATGAGCATTTCTTGCAGATACATAGAAAATCTATAAATTTTATTTATGCAATAAGTATGCATTATTATAAATACTTTACATGTATTACGATTTATACATGTATAAAGAAATATGTCGTTAACATTTTGATAATGAAAGTTGATATACTCATTCGAAGCAGTTACACTCACTTTTACCTGTATGCTTGATGGAGATATAATACATCGTAATAAAACTTTTCAATTTGGAATTAAAAATTTATTTCTGTCTTAGATATATTCACTAATTTATTAATTGCATGCAGTATTTAAGAAATCAAAAATTTTTCTGATTGGTAGTAAAACTAATCAGTATGAACAAAGTAAATTCACTGAAGCAAAACTGATTCCAAAGATTAAGTAACGTGAGCTAAATATTGCATAGGATGGAACTAAAATTTGGATATTTGCCAATTTGCTCTCATTAGCAGTACAAAAATAATTGAAAATATATTCCATTGCTTTTAACTTTATATATATTTTTGAAATAAAATTTTTTGGAAATTTTTTTTAATAATTAAACATTGTACTTGAAGAATTATATATATTATAATTATTATGAAGATATCACAGCTTAAACTGCATCATAGTATATCTGATGAATAAGAAAGAGTATATTTGTTATATTAATTATAAATAGAGCATTATAAATAATAATTACATTTGATGCAAAAATAATTAAGAATAAGTGATGAATGATCATCATACGTACATACATATATTTAAATATTTATATTGTAGGTAAAACATTAGTATAAATAAATAAATATAAAATTATTGAAAGGAAAACGATTTTAAAAGAGATTAAAAATGTACATTTTTTAATTCGATTAAACAAAGTATTTTTATAATTGAACTTTACTGGCAATGAGATTAAATCAAATGCAACTGCTATATATATATATATATATACGCAACATTACATTATATAAAAATTTTTTATATTTTATTTTTAGTTAGTTATTCACATATAATGAATGCCTAAGTGATTCCTACACAGCATAGTCTTTTTCTGTCATCTGGCTTGAGGTAAATTTAGTTTCACCTACCAGCTTCAATGTTCTTAGTACAAGTTCTACCATAGCTTCTACAGTTGCTGTCTAAGGATAACTCTAAATATCGTGATTTATCAAACCATTGTTATAGTATCTGCATATATATATATATATCACAACAGTGTTAATATATCACATACATAAAAGTGTGTTATATGCATTGCACTTATAATAATAAGTGGTAAATCTAGAATCTGAAAAAAAAGAGAAGAGTTAAAAGTTCTATCTAATATTTTCTAAGTAATATCATAATACCTTAAGAATTATTTATACACGAAATGGAGATAGCAAAGGAACTTATATTAACTCTCAAGCAAAATAATAAATCACACGTTGGATACGGATTACAAAAGGAATGTGAAGCTCTTGTTGGACATATTCTGCAAAATATGGTCAAATCCCAAATGCCTCCTTTGCAGCCTGTGACGAAAAATGAGGATGATTCTATTAAATACAGAGAAGAAGGTATGTATTTCTTTATTTTACCTATATATTAATATATGTATATATTACATTTCTAATTTCAATAAATATAATCAGGTAATCAGCATTTCGTGATGGGTGATGATCTGGAAGCCATCGAGTGTTACACCCTGAGCTTAGCATACGCCGATAGCGAAGAACTCATGGCGTGTGCACATGCAAATCGATCTGCCGCTTTGTACAGGAAACAATTGTACAAAGAATGCTTGATAGATATTGACGCGGCTTTAAATCATGGATACGCAAAAGAGAAGCAGAAAAACTTGAAGGAAAGGGGAGATAAGGCGATAATAGAAATTAAAAAGCTGTTGCAAATAGATTCAGAGGACGCCGATAATCAGAAAGTTATGGATGGACTACATCTGCGCGATGATATCGAAAAGTCTGCTACAGAATCAGGAAACATTGAATATGTTGAAAAGGGAACTGCGATGGAAAAAGATCAAGCGAACAGTGTTCCAAAAAAGCAGAGTGCAACGACTAATGAAAATTATTTTTATTATACAACGAAGATCCCCCCGAAGAAGCCGAGATATTTGCAGAACGAGGATTTCTCCAAGTTAATGTACGGTCCAAGCAAGGAGGTGCCTGCTATCAGCGACGGGATCGCTGTGTCCTTCTCCGAAAGATACGGCAGACATTATGTAGCGACACGGGAATTCAAACCTGGTGATATAGTCAGCATCGAAGATCCGTATGCAAATGTTATTTATGAAGAACGGTAAGGAACAAGCTAACACCATAATCTTTTTTAAATTATTATATATGTATGTCAGAAATATAAATATTTCATTTATTTGTTACAGATATTATACACATTGCCACTATTGTCTATCCAGAAGCTATAATTTAATACCGTGTCCGAAGTGTCCGATAGCCCAATATTGCTCCGAAAAATGCAGAAAATTAGCGTGGAAAGTATGCCACGAAACGGAATGTCCAATCCTAAAGCTGTTAACTAACTTGCTTAACGTGGACAAAGATAAAATAAGAATGATTTCGAAGATTATTCGCTTGTTGATTGCAGTGACCGAAAACGGAACCAAAATTAAAGAATTGCAGCAAGATATGAAAATCGCGGAATCTAATTCAGGTGTTCGTTCGTGACATTCAAAAACTAGTTTTTTTTTTAACTATAATTTGATTGTTGCTAATTAACAAATCTTTCATCTTTTTATTGCAGATAGTAGAACAGCAGGATTTACAGACACTGGGATATTGGACAGTTTTAGCGCACGTTCCGCACTGAGCCTGGCAACCAATATGACTACAAGACCGCTGATCGGAGTTAGCGCGTTCGCTTGTATTTCAGCACTCGCCGTAATTCTTTTAGCCACACAAACCAAATTTTTCCCTAAGAAATACGATATGGAGGATTTGAAAGACATCAGTGAGTTTTGCGAGCTGAAATTTTGCGCCAGTATAATGTTTCGTGCCTGCGTGATAATGTCCTCCAATTGCTTTTCGGTGAGTACACATATTTCTATTTTCCATTTGTATTTTATCACATTCACATATGTATCCGTTGCCAAGCTATTATCATTATTGAAATTATATATTCTTAATACATCTATCATTTGTAAAAATAATGTATATTAATAAAAAAATGTTTTCAAAGATGTACAGTTATACATTTATTTCACAGATACAACAGGAACCAGGAATAATATCGGGTTCAGGCTTGTATGTGGCTCATAGTTTATATAATCATTCTTGTGCACCGAACACTTTCCGGCATTTCGAAGGGCTTACAATGATCACGCGTGCCCTGACGCCTATACATCCCGGAGATCAGATATTCACAAGCTACGGCGGTGTGTACGCGCATATGGCTCGGTTCGAGAGAAAGCAAAAAATACTGCAGGATTATTTTTTCGATTGCGATTGTCCGGCGTGTGAGAACAACTGGCAAACATACAATGAGATTCTGCGGGATCATACTGGCTCTATTTCCAAAAATAAGCCACTTGTGGAAAAGATGAAACCTTTCAGAGAGAGATTGCTCGCGAATATGTACGATATCGAAGCGGTGAAAGCTGTTCTCGATATATTGTACAAGGAAGTCAGCAAACATCCTTGTGAGGAAATACTCCATGCGGAGCAATATTTAAAGAGCTACTATTTGGGTAAATTTAAGTGAACATTACAATTACAATGCTTTAAGCGTAGTATTTTCATATAGTTCTGCTTATAGTTCTGCTTACTGCTTTTTGCTTTGATAATAATTTTATGCTTACTATTCCCTTCATTAATATCTTCAGCTTAATGTAATCACCCATTGCTTTATTTTGCTATGTACACAGCTAATAAAACTTTTCAGCAGCACCACTGATTATTTATTTCCTGCTTTAATAATTGGTTTATCAAAATGCATAATAATAATAATTGCTGAAAAATTTGTAAATAATATAACAGATATTTTTCTGGATTTTTCAGATCCGTGAGTTGAAAAGATATGACAATAGAAATTAATATCGAAGAAGTATTCTTTTCTTTAGGACAACATGTTTGAAGAACATTGTAGTGACTGCATTATAATGTAAAATGTCTTCTATATTAATTAGGGAGACTATTCACCAAATATCTTATATATGTCAAACATTTACAATTTTATCAAACTATTATATAAAATTATTGAATCCAATAAAATCGACACAGTATTAGAAAAATATTTTCATAAGTGATAAAATAAATTGAAATAATAAGAAGTTAATTAATCATTCATCGTGCATCTATTTTATTTTCAGAGAGAAGTGGAATACACATGAGATACATAAATGTTCTCAAATTTATGTTAACTATTTCTAAATAATACACAATTATGTTAACTAAAATAAAATGTATCTTGATTATACCTTACATATATTTTCAAAATTTGGCATAAACGCCTTTTATTCTAATAATAAATAAATAAATATATTGAGCAAATCTGCTTTGGAATTTTCTATTCACTTACGATATTATCATATGTTTATTCGAGTTTTTATTTTTCGGAGCATTGCAGATTTTACTTTACAGAGAGACTCAAACTATTTTAGCTAAGATTTAAACCATTTTAGCCAAAACTCAATCACTTGGTTTGCGCATGTGTGCGGTACCCCCTCTATTCATGCTGCTTGCTTCTTGCGTCTCAAATCTGGCCACAGTGGTTGTAACTGATTGTCGCAGCTGGTGACAGTCCGCAATTTGCAATTCAGCTGTGCATTTTTGGAGCACATGGAAGTTTGTAAATAATCTCTAATCGCTGCAAAATTCCACGTCACATATAAGACATGTCGCGGCATCGAGATGTTCGTTGTATGAATTACTCTGATGGTAGGTGACTATATACAGTATATACATTACACATTAATTATCTTCTCATGCCGAATTTGTAACCTTTGGAACCTCTTGTTATTCTAATCGTTCAAAATAATTAATTCAACTTATTAATCTCTTTTTTATTTTTATTACTCTATACGGAAAAAGAAAACGCCTTTTATCATGATTTTAATTTTAAACACAACATAACATCTAACCTTCTCTCTTCTATTCTATTTATCTATCTATATCTATTCTTAACACGAAACATGTGTTTCTTGCAGAATATGATGGCTACGACGATGTTTATGGACATTCAGTGGAAGATGATTATTGTGTATCACCTAGTGGTATGTATCTCGAGACTACTTTACAGACTTCTGTCATATTTCTAATGAAATCAGATGGTATAATGGTGTTATGGTATATGTATAGCGGAACAGTTTTTGTTCGATCGAAGCAAGCAACAGAATATTGCTTCCTTTATCACGGAACCAGATATAGTGGAAGATAATGAGGAGGATATAGTAGACGATATTGGTGAGTCTTCATCATCGGTCAATGAAGAGAAATGTAACCTTTCTGAACTGGAAAGGGCAAAATTAATATCTTGTATAGAAACAATCAGAAATGTCATTGGTGACACTGTGCCTGAATCTAAGTTGAGAGAAAAAATTATTTCATCAAACTTTGATGCAGATGTGGCACTTGATGCTATTTTGAAAGAGTCTTCACCAAAAAACGCTAGTGGTATGTTTGTGAGATTTTGTTGTGGAAATATCATAATTGATAAACTAACATAAAATATCTTTAAATGCAATTACAGATTCAACGGCGAATAAGGAACGATTGGAACGGCATCCAGGTATGTTGCATAATATTACATTTTATATGACTAGTATTATTTTAATACAATTTCATGACCTCGTGTTTTTTGTTTCTTTTTCATATTTTACGTGCTGTATTGGACTTCATCGGTAAGGTAAGGTGTTTCAATTGATAAACCAAATACATCTATGTTTACAATACCCAAACTTTCTTTCAAGAAAGAAGCTGGCTTACTTAAAGATTCTAGTTCAATCATATCTCATTCGAATCCAATAGACAAAGATATAAAACATTCTCCGAAAATTTTTTCGTCGTTAACTGGACTTATCTCTCATCATACAGAGTCCACAAGTTTAGATACAAGAAAGTCACCTTTACAAAATAGTATAAATGCACAGCCTTTTGGTTCTTTAGCTGCCTTAACTGCACATCATTTGCAAAAATCTAATTCAAATAGTAATACAGAATTTTGTAAAAACCAACAGTCGCCAAGTTCACAGTTTGTTATTCCAAAATTGGCAATTAAGAGAAATAATAGCGAGGAAACGGGGAATGTACAACTATCAAAATCTGACGATAGCGAAAATAACAAAATGTTGGTATATCCAAATAGTTTGAGCAAACATTCAACTGATTTGCTTCAAAAAGATTTTTCGAACATGCATATTTTTCCGAAAAGCGATATTGCGTCGGACGTAAAATCGGAAGAACAATTTAAAAAATCAACAAATTCTATAAGTGAGATTCGCGCCGCATCACCTGACAATTGGATAATTGATTTGAGCACTGCTTTAAAAGAAGCAGAATTTTTGACTGACAACAGTTTTAGCAACGTTAAATTGACTACCTCCAAAAAATTTTATTACGATATGCCTAATTTGGACTTGTGTGTAGAGAAATCCAGTGTAATACTAAATGTATTACCTGTCACTCTAAATTTATGTGACCTACGACACGTAAAACTCCCGTATACAAAAAAGAAAGTTTCGGTATTTGGAAAAACTGTATGTAGAAAATGGAAAACGGGAAAACCAATTTTTAAAGTTACTATACAACGTCATGACACAATTAAACCTTTTGATTTTTCCACTCCATATCGAAATACAAATCGATCTTGACAATTAAATATCTCAAAAACGTAAATGAATGAAACGATACGTAATATGTACAAATATTTAGTAATAATTTGAAAATTATAATATAGGAAATATATAGGAAATAGAAGATTTGTAAAAATAATTGTTTTAATTCACTTTATTGAAAATTATATTTTTTTATTCTGATTTTATTTGATTCAAAAATTATAAATATATAATTTGGAATAAAAAATATATGTAAATATCTGTGTAAAGAATTTAGAATATATATATTCATGATATATATATGCATACATATTGGTATATATATGAATATATATACATATATTTTTTTTTGTCATATATTTCATATATACATATATATGAAATATTTTATAATTATAATATTGTATATTATAATTATGTTCTTTTATACATATGTATGAGTGCATATCCATTTTATATATACACATATCTATATGAATAAAATTGCAAAACAATATTCAAAATTAGCATTACATTTTTATTGCGTTAATCATGAACACACATAACTTACATTTGTTATAATTCCTGTATTTGATAATAATGTACGAAGAATTTACATGGCTGAGAATGAATTTCGTAATAGGTAACAAATTATCATCTAAGCCTGCATTGCAAGTTACAACACCTTCTACTATAAAAGTTGTACCTACCGGTACGAAGCCTGTTGTGAAGGGTTTCGATTTGAGTGGCGTAGAAAATGCGGATTTATTAAGTCCACGTTGCCAGAGCCCGTCTTCTAATCGAAACAGCCCCGAGACCAAGCGCAAAGAGGATATCATAAAAAAGGAGAAGACACTCTCGTCGACAACGAACAGTCCAAGATGCCAGTCGCCTGTATCAGGTCACATAACGCCGGAGTTGGACGTCAAAACAAAATCTAACGCATCCAACGAAGAAAAGGTGGATGTGCAAGCGATATATAAGAATAAAAGAGGCGACAGCAAAGAGCAGATTCATCTAGTGGTTGTTGGACACGTCGATGCTGGTAAAAGCACATTGCTCGGACGATTGCTCTGTGATTTGGGTCAAGTGCCGCAGAGACTCATTCATAAATATCAGCAAGAGAGCAAGAAGATAGGGAAGCAGTCGTTTGCTTACGCTTGGGTGCTGGACGAGACCGGTGAGGAAAGGTAATTACTAATGCATCACTTCTTGCAGAGTCAATGCGGGAGAATATATCAGTTATGATGTATTTTTAATAGAGAGCGCGGAATAACAATGGACGTAGGCCACTCCAAGTTCGAAACAGACACAAAGTCTATTACTCTCCTAGATGCACCTGGTCACAAGGATTTTATACCGAATATGATAACCGGCGCCACGCAAGCGGATGTAGCTTTGTTGGTGGTTGATGCGACCAGAGGCGAATTTGAAACTGGATTTGACAGCGGCGGGCAAACACGCGAACACGCACTGCTATTACGTTCCTTGGGTAAGCTGTCCCAATTTGTGTAATTTCGATCCATTATTTTAACTGTAAGAAACGGACGTGTTGTCAAACTTTTTTTAAAATTTTAAATTCTTGTCGAATTTTGCAGGAGTATCGCAACTAGCAGTAGTCGTAAACAAACTGGATACTGTAAATTGGTCTAAGGATAGATTCAACAAGATAGTCGACAAAATGAGTGTGTTTCTGAAGCAAGCTGGCTTCAAAGACACTGTCACTTTTGTACCTTGTAGCGGTTTATCCGGAGAGAATATCATAACGAAACCGAAGGAGCAGCTTTTTAACTGGTAAGTATAACATCTTGATGTTCTACACACATGTTTCTATCATTCTGTCTCTTACAAAATTATTTTGCAGGTATACCGGATCTACTCTAGTCAATGTAATCGATAATTTTAAGTGTCCAGAACGACCTGTAAATAAACCATTCCGTTTTTCGGTCAATGATATATTCAAAGGTACCGGATCCGGATTCTGTGTATCCGGCCATGTTGAAACGGGCATGGTATCTTTAGGTGACAAAGTTTTAATACTACCTCAAAATGAGATTGCAGTTGTTAAAGGTTTGTAAGCTAAGCTTCTACTGAGTTTATAACTGTAGATACTTAAGAAAGTATATATTACACCTATAAATACATTCTAGGTCTTCAATCGGATGAAGTTTCAATGACAAACGCGTTCGCTGGTGATCACGTGGTGCTGACGTTAGCGGGTATCGAGCAGCAAAACGTGGGCGTCGGCGATATAATTTGTCATCCGCAGAGTCCGATACCCGTGACAACGTGCTTTCAAGCACATGTAGTTATATTCGCGATAGCAAAACCGATTACGAAAGGGCTTCCAGTGGTGATGCACCAGCAGTCTTTGGTACAACCGGCGGTCATCACGAAATTAATAGCGCAACTTCATCGCAGCACCGGCGACGTGATCAAGAAGAAACCGCGTTGCTTACCGAAGAATTCCAGCGCGATTATCGAGGTCGCGACGCAAAATCCGATCTGCATGGAATTGTACAAGGATATTAAGCAGCTGGGTAGAGTTATGTTACGGTTAGAAGGCACCACTATCGCAGCTGGTTTAATTACAAAAATTTTGTAAATCTGGAAAATTATAATTACATGTGAATACAGAGTCTCAAATATGCAATTTTTTCATATTAGAACAAATCATAAATTACTTAGATCTGACATATGCATCGCTATCATATTTATACATCACACAAGCCAATGGATAGGTTGTCATATTATTTTATTTACAACATCGCGAAGACCACTCGAGATTTTTTCTTAATTAATATACATTCTGTAATATATTTGTAATATTTTACGTAAATCTAGAATTAATTTGGTATGTCCGTAATAAAGGTATGATTATATTATTTTCATCAATGATTTATACTTGTAAATTATTGATTTCTGAATGTAATATTAAAAATTTAAGATTTTATAATGCTAGAATTACTATGGAAGTGATCTTAATGACATTATAACATTTTATATTTATATAAAATTTACAAAATCTTTTAGCAAAAAGAAATCGTAAAAGTAATTTTTGACAGATTTTTGCTGTTTTTCTATGAAAGGACAAGAATTGGAAACAAAATCACATCTTAAACTTAAACTTTTCAATTATTATAATGTAAATCTCAGGTTAAGTAAGTTTTCTTTATATTTAAGTATATATTATAAATAGATTTAAAAACTTTTTTATCTTGCACAACTGCTACAACCACCGAAAAATGGAATGTCAACATTGTTCCCTGTATTTGGTCTACCAAGCCTACGTGGTGGAGGACGTGGCCTATAAGTAATTACAAAAATTATTACCTCATGTGTTTCTCGCTTGTCACAAATATATATTGTTTCTTACCCAGAGCCTGGTCGGAAATCTCCTCTCGAGTTTTGACCTTCTACTCTATTTGTGCCAGGACTTATCAATGTCTGAAAACTATTTTTAGTGTAAGCATCATATTATGCGTAAAAAGAACAGTAAATCGAAAAATCATAGTTTTGTTACATTACATTGGATCATTATTGCAATAGGCAATTATAGTACTTACAACATAATGATCATATAAAATGCTCCTGTAAAGAGCCCAAAAACTCTCCTCAATCCCCATGGAGTGGAGTTTACCACATTGCCATCTACAAGCAAATTATTGTCATAAATTAAATCTTAACAAGCACAAGGTTTCAACAAATCAACCAGGTGTTGTATATATATGTATATATATTACCGCCTGTAACATAAACCATGTTGAAGTAGCACTTCACACGCTCATTAACATAACTTTTTTTTTATCTTTGGTAATCGTCTTGCGTACGATTACGATATGTAATTTATGTCTATGTTCCGATGCACAATGATGCACACGTCATATACGAATGACAGGATGATGATAATCAACAATAATGTAACGATAACGTTCCACGAAATTCAATGGGATTGGAGAACTGCGTTACAGAAGAAAGTGTGCACTACGATGCCACCTAGTGTTATTTCGTAAGATCGACTCAGAAGGTACAGAAGAGAAACACATAAAAAAAATATACCACGTATAAGAAGATATAAGGAAAAAGATTTGTGCAAAAAATCTCAAATTTCTCGGAAGCAAGACTACATATCTTATTTAATTAATACTCTTATTTTATTTAAAAAAATTTTAATTTTATACATAGTACCGTATACACATACACATTTGTTGCATCATTCTCGCTTACGTTCATTTGCACTTCCTATATATATGTATTTAAAATAATTGACAATTATTTAAAAAAATAATTTTATAATTGCTTTAACAATATTGATGATTCAATTATTTATTAAACTACATCGACTCTAATAATTTATAATGTCCAATTTTATTTTTGTTTTTGTCACCATCGTTGAATACAAAGAGCGCAGTTATATATCTTTCTACTTCTATTAAATTATTGAAAATCTTTAAAATACCATTATAACCATTATTGTCGTAAACCATTTGTTAATTAGTCGCTAGGATTCATATCGCTTATCACGCGCTCTTATTTTGACCCAAAGTCCACCGTGTGCTCTAACTGTCATTCGAAACCTAGCTAACACTTTTTCCTTGCCGAGTACCGGTTCTAAACGACACTTTCTCAGAACAGTACTAATAATCGATTTCATCTCAAGCATAGCAAATTTGTACCCTAAAAAATATGAAAAAAAGTAATAAAGTACAACATACAATATATTTCTTTGAAAAATTTCTTCTAACAAATAATTTTATAATATTGCAGAAATTCTTACATAAAATCAAATGTTTCTCTTACCGATGCAATTGCGAGGTCCAGCACTGAAGGGTATAAAAGCATAAGGATGTCTTCCTTCAGAATTTTCAGGACTAAAACGTTCTGGTTTAAAATCATGAGGATCAGGAAAATGATGAGGCAAGCGGTGCGTACAATATGGCAATATAAATACGCCGCAACCGGCTGGTATCACGTGCTTTCCTACATAATGTGAATAAAACAACATTTTATGATGATTTATGTTGATTCATTCATATATCTTACCTATTCTTACATCTTGCCCGAGCGTCCTGGCAAAAAGTGGCACACTAGGATACAGCCTCAAGGATTCCTTGATGCACATATCCAAGCACTTCATCTCCTTGAGATCCTGCATGGTAGGTGATCTATTGTCATCACTAAAAATCTCATTCAACTCCTCGACGCATCTCTCTTGCCACTTAGGATTATTCGCCAGCAGGAAAAGTGTCATCGCAGTGCCAGTGCCAACGGAGTCCTGGCCGGCAAGCATAAAAGTACAACACTCCTCGATGATGTCCCGCTCGGTGAAGCAGGGATTCTTCTCGTTGATTTCGACCATGTACTCCAGCAAGGACATCTTTCTGGACGTCTCGTTGTCAGCGACGAAAGAACCGTTCTTGCGTAAAAACTCGCGCTTTTCCTTCATTTTCTTAAAGCAAAAATCGAAGAGATCTTTCTGCTGTCGTTCTTCCGATTTTCCAGCCGCCGTCAATCGGTAGATCCAATCAATTAGCAGCCACGGCCGCGCAAATCTATATGGTACCATAACTTGGCCCCTGTTTTCAAAAAATATGTTCATTAATAATTATCGTTATATCCTTCGCAATACACAAAGCGTCTCAAAATTGACGAAAATCAACATTCCAGACAGCACGTGCTCTTTTCATGTACGTTTTTCAATGTAACTATGTATTCAATGTATTCATATACGTTTCAATGTATTCATATACGTTTCGTAAACGTATCCAATGTATTCAGATACGTTTAGGAAACGTATATGAAACGAACATGTGCTCTACCTGGAATATTTCTCACAAAATCTGAAATAAATCTTTTTTCAGAAAAATATCAAGAAAGATTATTTATCACAATTTTTCTACTCTATTTCATTTAGTTAATTAATTACAGTATAATTTTTTCCGTCTGTTTTATATTTAAAAATTTGCTAACAAAATTTGTTTGTTAATTAGGTTGATTGTGCCCTGCACTGTGCTCACTTTCTAAAAGGCGTGTCATCTTCGCCGTTGCTGTACCTTTGACTTGCTGGCATGCCCAAAATCGTCTCTGAAAATAATCACTATTGTGTCAGATGATCAATATTTAGCATCATCATAAGTACCAGTCTCCGGAGTGTCGAAATATATGATAATGAGAGCTTCAACTGAGCGCAGTCTCTTTAAAAACATTATTAGCGATATGGAAATATTGAAAATCAACAAAGAAGTACACGACTACGCACTACTGTTGGACATTTCTCGACTTGGATTTTCATGCTAATTAGTTTTGCTCGTAAGCCACGTAAGCCACGTTTATAAAAAGGTAAAACATTTAGCATGCATTAGGCATTTGCGATTCATATCGATTCATCACCGTGAATCGTAAATGTATTCTATGTCTTTATTGCATGATGCACTCATCAGTATTATTGAATTTAAGCATACACGTCAATTTATGTTGTCAAGAGATATTAATTTGTTTACCGATTTCATGTTAATATTACACAAAGCAAAGAATGTACCTAATTACAAAATCCTTTTTAACTCGATTTTGCAAGTGAAATACGTTCCCTTTCGAAAGTGTGAAAAAAATGAATGAAAAGACTAATACTCAGAAATGTCTAATAAGTGTGTCAATTAGTACTTCTATGTAACATATTCTGTCAACGTATTATTGCAAAGATAAAACAAAAATGGAATCTATAATTTCAAACCGAATGTATCTTTTACATTTTATGCGAGAAACTAAGGTTATAAAAAAATGATTTTTAAATATTAGATATTAAATATTTAAAAAAATAAGAATATTTTATCGCAAAAGCAGTTTACAGTCTTTATTTAAGTACGAGCGATTAGTACACATACCGATCAGTATATCGTAGACTGAGTTGTTAACGAATACGGTGACATTTATATCATCTCCGTCCTTCTCAAGTAGTTTACCGACTAGACGATCTGCATACTCGCCGAATGTGTCGACAAATCTTTCGAGTACATGAAGATGGAAGGCCGGCTGCAAGATTTTCCGATGTATCCTCCATTTGTCAACTTCCCGCGTGATCAGACCCTTGCCCAGAAAATTGTCGAGCAATTTGTACAAGTATATCTTCTGCGTGTGCTTCATACTGCTGAGCACAACTTGGATATCTTCCGGCTCCATGAGCGTGACATACGGCAGAAGCGTTAGCCATACCCGGAAGATGCGGCCGTAACTCTGCGCCTCGTTTGTCATTCTCTGAATCACTAGAAAATTAAAGAATATCTATGAAAATGTTGCTTGAAATTTAAATATTGACTGATTTGTTATTATAAAGTTTTGCAAAGTCTTTTTATCGTATAATTAATTCATTTTCATTCATTTTTTATTGATCCTTTGACAGAAACAAATTCGAAGTCTTTTTTGTTCAAATGCAGTTGCAATCTTTGTCCAAATGTAAGCAATAGAAAATTGAATCGGCTGAATAAAATAGCATACGATTGAATCAACTTTAGTCAATTAATTATTAATCACACATACAAACAACACACACATGCATATTGAAATGTGTGATTTAAATTAATATTAACAATTGATTTACTTACAGTTTCCCTCAAAAACGGTATTTACATTACCAAGGATGGGCACCGTCTTCGGTCCATCGAGGGTAAAAATAAATCTGATAATCCTGATGTAATTCTTCAATGCATATATAACATAGATGACAGCTAGGAAGGCAAGATAGGTCCACATCTCGTCAGGTGTGCGATTCAACTGATTGAAGAAAACATTATACCAAGGTTAAAACATGGGTAATAAATAAAAGATAAAAGATGCATAGACAAAGTTTCTACGTAGTGATTAATGCTATTGATCATACAATTTATTTCTGTGTTATAGCTTTAGCAATGACAGATCCTATCGTTGACAGTTCGCCACTTAGACCAAGTGTGTTAAACGACTGTGCAAATAAGGGATAAATAAAATGTCATAAATTTCATTTAATTTTATTACACATTAAAATATGTGATATTTCTATTTTTACTTTCTGTATGCTTTAATTTGTCATTTAACAACGCAAAAGCATAAAAAAATATTTTTTAAATATTTAAAAAATTTTATAATAAAAAGATACTTTTCTTTTTAATTAATATTCTTATTATTATTATTAAGTAATATTGCTTTTATATTATGTTATTGAAATTATTATTAAATGTGAGCATGAAAAATTGAGGAAACTAATTTTTTACTTATTTCAGTCTCAATCGACTACTAATTGATAAAATTCACTAAAAAATGATATAACAGATGACATAATAATAAACATGGCAATAAAATAACAATTTTCTTGTGATGCGCTAACAATATCTATTATAAACGTGCATAAATGCAGAATATGTCGTAAGTGCGAAAGTTAGCGTAAAGTAGCGAAAAAATTAATATTGCAGATTATAAATAATATTTAATTTTTTCATATTCGCACTTATATGTTAACTTGAAGTTATCTTCTATATTTCTTCTACATTTGTTGATTTAGATTATTAATTACTTGTTTAAATATCGTTTCTATTGATTTGCATACACACATATTTGTATTAACTCTCTACTAGCATTGTAGCATCACAGAATCTCAAACAATATTTGTTTGACAAATGCATTTAATTATGTGGTATTGCATCATCGCAAATAGCATTGATTTGCCCGCCAAATTCCACGACGGACGTTTACTTTCTTGCATTAGCTATTCCAAAGAGAACACCTGTTAATTGACGTATCAAAGCATGCACGTAAAGTGTGCCGCGAACAATCACCGATCGCATAATAATAAGTTTTATGGCAAGAATTAATCGAGAATCTAATATGTATTAACTTGTTACAGAAGTCGAGATTTAAATATCTACTAAACCGATCTCTCGAACACAAACGATGCTCTCTCAACACTGACTTTAAATAACCATTAAGTGACAAAAAAATATAAAATTAAAAAATTCTTTACACAAAATACTGTCATCATCATTGAAAAATATATAACAAATATCAAGATTTGTTTACTCACTGAATATAAATATTTTATTATAGAACCAATAATTAAAAAATTTACAATATACGAAATAAAGCAACTAAATGCAACAAGAAGTACTTTTCAAAACATGTTCGTATTACGAAAATTTTATTAAATTAATATTTAAAAAATAGCCACTCACACACACTCACAGTCTGAAGAATATTGCAATTGGAATATCACTGATACACACACGTGGGTATAATACCTAAAAGTTATCAATATGATATCAGCCAACCAACTCGTGAATTCTTGTAAAGTGTCTGCGTATTTATACGACTGCGAAGTCACAACCTCCCTCTCCGTTGAAAAATGCGTAAAGCGCGTACAAATAATGTCATATTCTTCTTCATCTTGGTACATACTTAAATTCCTTTCTAATGGGTTTTCTCACTCTTCAATCAATGACAAACCAATATTAAATTAGTGAATTCTATCGATTGTCATCACATCTATTTACTGTTATCTTTATTTTTAATATGTATAATATTTCAGTTCTTTCAAATTATGCAATGCCACATTGCAATAAAATTAAACTCATTTTTATTTCATAGCACTCATTAATCATTTTGTGCAATATACTAGCAGTAGTTGCATTGGATAATATGCAAAAATAAAAATTAATTTAATCAGAACACTGAATTGCATAGCATGTATAGATCTTTTGGTACTTCAAATGGTACTAGTATCAAATAAAATAATGCATAACAACTTAATAAATTTCTGTTTCTACAAAAAATTATTTTTAAAATTGATAAAATTATATCGTAAGAAACGTTGTCCTTGATCAATTTTGGAAGATTCGGTTTTGCGCAGTATGCAAAACAAAGCGTGCACAGAATCGACTTTAATTCAGTTTCAAGTAATGTTCGCGAAAAAATCGACATATTATTATTAACATGAAAATTGATTAGACCAACTATAAGCAAATAATATATCTCACCTGAAGTAATATCATGAAGTAATATCAAAAATGTCATGTTCTCTCACCATCAAGACCACCAAGAAGTCAAACATTCACGATTAGAACGATCGATTGACTAAACCTTGCCGCTTGCTCGCTAGTAGTTTATATTGTAGAGAAATGTCAGACTGTGTTATGGCACCTTGTTAAACAGACTCATCTACACCCAAATCACGTATTCGTTGATGTGTATGCAGGCGTGCCTGTCAAGCACCCTGTGTTCCAGGCAAGTTCTGGGAGGCAAGACGGTCACCAAAGAGGATGCTTCACATGCATCCTTCTATTCACGGTCATCATAGAATGAAACTCAAGGAATTTTGCCTCAAGGATGTGGGTGATCACGCCGATTATTTTAATAATTATGTGCACATGATGTATGATTCAATCAGATCGCTGTTCTTCGTTCGGCGTTCACTTTTCGTTCGTCGGAGATCGACATAGACATTTAATTCTGTACTCATCCTCGAACTTATTGGTGTGCATACAAGCTTTTGTGAATACCTGTAAATATTACAAAATTATTTGTATCATACTGGAAAACTGAACATACTTTTTAATATTTCAACACAAATATTTTGATACAAAAGTATGAAGGTCATAATAGTTGTAAAATGCAAAAATGTCAAGTTCATAAAAGATTCTAAATAGCAAGTAATTAACCAATTGAGTGGTAATGTATCATATATGTACAAAAAAAAGTGCCAAACGTGTAATGTATCATATATGTACATTTCTAAATAACTCCACTAATTTTCAACAGATTTGCATAAAACTTGATATCCTAAGGTTTTTTAGGCTGCTGAATTCGAATCTTGTTGTCAAAATTGCAAAATTCAAAATGACGGATCCAATATGGCGACTGTTAATTGTTAAAAGACTAAAATATTAAAGTTAGGTAAAATATGTATAAGACCTTATTTGTAGAGCTTTTTATGAGCTTCATTTTTTGTTTGACAACTTTTTCCGTACAATGAATACTTTCCGAAATAATTAACAAAAACAGTTTTATTTTTGAATCTTTGAGGGGGGGCTGGGGGCGGAGGGGGCATTTGCGCCAAAAATCCATTTGGGAATATTATTTACTAGATAAAATAAGTATTTAGGCTGAATATAAGCCAAATCGGAGGTGATAGCTTTTCGGAAGTCCATCCCCCTTTTTTGATCCACCTCCACTTTTGACTGAAAAGTTGTAGTAAACATTTTCAAAAATCATTGTTCTTGTCTTGAAACGTCCTTTCAAATGATCTCCACTCGACCCATAGTGCCATTTAACATTTTCCACTCCTATTCTGTCTCCCGCCCGCAGGGCGTGGAGAGGGGGGGGGGAATCCACACCCATTCCAAAAAGTTGCTTTTTCGGAAACTTTAAACTCATGTTTCACCGTTTTTCGATATTTTAACTTTTGGCTCTTACCACTTTTGGCACAAATCTTTCGGAAAAGTCTACCACTCAACTGGTTAAAATCTATAAATTTCTGATACCGGTTCAGATATAATTAATATTAAGGAAAGATAACTGGATAAGTAAAATAAACGTTGTCTTGCTTTCAAAAAACATTTAGAAAGTATAAACCGGTGTCAGAAATTCATAAATTTTAATCATTTGCTATTTAGAATTTTTTATGAACCTTGATATTTTTGCATTTTACAACTATTAAGGCCCGTTTATATATATCTGTACCGTATCCGTACCGTACCGGCAAGATTGGATATGAGTATTTACACATATCCGAATCGCATCCGTGAATGTTTTGAAACATCAGTCTTGAGATATACATCTGACTATGAACATGGAAGAGCTATCGATAAACGAATTAGCGGTAATAGCAATTAATTTTAGACGAAGAGGAATCTTAAAAAAAAAAACGGATTTTATGGATTTATAAAGCATGGACAAAACGAAAAACGGAAGATAAATTTTTTACATTATATAAAGAATTGGTTAATGATGCTAAATTTTATCAATATTTTAGAATGTCAGAACATGCTTTTAATGTATTACTCAATTTAATTGATAATAAAATATGAAAATAATATACAAGATAGAGAAAACCGGCTAGCGAAAACATGTTCCTACATATGTATAAATTTTTAAGAGAATTGTGTATTTTTTCTTCAAATAAAGTGATGTTTATAATGAATATAAAAATTTATTTGTAAAATAATATTTATCATGAATGTCAGAACATGCTTTTAATGTGTTATTCAATTTAATTAATAATAAAATATGAAAATAATAAACAAACTAGAGAGAACCGGCTAGCGAAAACACGTTCCTACATATGTATAGATTTTTAAAGAGAATTGTGTATTTTTTCTTCAAATAAAATAATGTTTATAATAAATATAAAAATTTATTTGTAAAATAATATTTATCATGAGTAAAATTACCTGGTTGGTCAAGTTCTTGAAAAATATTCTGCCACAGTTTTTCTTTATAAATTCCATCAAGATATTTTGGATGGGAAAGATCGTATAATTCGATGCGTTGTTGCACTAATTCTATCAATTTTTCATTATTCATTTCTTTATTTTAAAAGAATGCTCTCGATATCGCAGACTGATACAAAATGAGACTCAAAAATCTGAACGCTACACTGAAGCCTATTTACACTTGTCAGTACCGGCACGTTCAGTGTCGTCCGGTCCGTGAAAATATCGTCGCCGCCGACATCTGCGGTGCCGGTACCGACACGGACGGTACGGATACCGAATAGTGTAAATACTTACATTTAATCATATGGAATCGAACCTAGCATCCGTGCACGGACGTGTACGGTACGGATACGGCACGGATATGTATAAATGGGCCTTAAATGGGCCTTTATAACCTTCATTTTTGCATCGGAATATTTGTGTTGAAATATTAAAAAGTATGTTCAGTTTTCCAGTATGATACAAATAATTTTGTAATGTTGTAATTTTGTAATATCTTAATTATTGATATTGGGATCAGTTTTTTTTTGTTCTTTTATGCCCTAACTAGACCGGAGGATGATCCTACTTGTGACTTATCTAAGTGCATAGTTTGACAAGTTAAAATTATATTAAAGTTGACTTCCAATCGTATTAACCATATCAAATAATTTTTTTTATCCAATTAAATCGATTCGGTCGGTCTGTCAAACTATGCACTCGAATGAGCCACAAGTAGGATCATCCTCCGGTCTAGTTAGGGCATTATAATCTTTACTAATCAACGTTTTATAGTTTTTGACGATGTCACTGATTCGTTTTAAATATACTTACAACATGACACTTGAGTAACAAGTAGTAGAGATCAATATATAGCATACGTACTTTTTTTTTGACATGTGTACACTAATGTTGATCTAATCAAATGTCAATAATAGAGGCGATAATTACAGATGATAACTGTGATACATTGGACAACGGATGAAAGAGAGTCGACAGGCGTCATCTATCGTACAGGTAACGAACACTCAACACGCAGCCAGTGCCGGATTCAATTTCATGCTGCTCGCATGCGAATACAATCCTGTCGGCGATTGTCGCCGCGGTATGCGCGCGCGCCTTGGCGCAGCTCTCGCGGATTTTACGGGAAAAATTAAACGTATCTCATTCATAGCAGTGCAGTCCGGTGGCCCTATCGTTTTGTCAGACGAGTTTAACGTAACATTAAATCGAACGGTGTTGAACGCGCAACAAATTTCCGCTACTCGAATATCGCGATATTCCTTCGGTTTTCGTCGATCTTCGTCAAGTCATCTGTCAATGATTTCAAGACCCTGATTTAGTGCGTGATCAAATCACACAGGCATTTCGAAGGCGCGTTTGAACGAACGTCAAATCACTTGCCGGTCGCTCTCCCGCGAAGGAGGGACGTGGTGGAGGTATCCGTGTATTCCACTCTCGAGTGCAGCTCGCGATGCGACGGCTATCAGTCGGCCGTGAGCCGTGAAGTGAGCGCGGGTTGTGTAGTAGTTGTACACGATCGATTCCGGAGTCTTTCGACGTCGCTCTCGCGGCTGAAGCAGACGTTTTTGCGAGTGATACAAACAACGAGAAGTGATCGATCGGGGGAAAAGACGCACGTATAATCTCGAATGGGAAAATACAGATGTTCCAAGTGTAATTTCAGAGCGTACGACGATTGAGAAATAGAACGGGACGAACGGTGTCGGTGCACCCACGTGACGAACGGAGTGCCGCGCAAAGGTGTTCTTTGATACGAGATTCTCGAGCGAGATTCTGCGTCAGTGACAGGAGCTCGCCGCCCAGGAGCAAGAAAAAGACAGCGAGAAGGGAAGCGAGAAAAACGGAGAGAGAGAAAGAGAGAGTGAAACGATCGATGTTCACATGACAGTCAACAACGCGGAGTAAAACTGCCGCTGAAAGGGTGCGCGGACAACGGCCATATTCAAGGCGAGCCCTCGTCACCCTGGGTAGGGTCGAAAAAACAGTCTCGCCGCTATCCACGAAGACGAGTTGACGTGTTGCCGGTGCGAAATACGCAACGACGACAACGAGGACGACGTGAACGAGGAAACACATACGATTCGAGCGGTAGCAACGGCCTCATATCGAGATGGAGTTCAAGTTCAACGTAAATAAACTCTTGCCTAGGAAGATCAACAAGGTCACACATAACCTGGTGCCGGAAGACTTCAAAGGCGATCGACGCGAATTGAAGTGAGTGCACGCTTAAGATTTCAAAATAACTTGCTCAAATAGTTAATCGAGTAGAGCGTAATATCTATTATAGATTAAAATGCGTGTGTAATTGTATGTATTTATAATTTGAGAATAGCAAGTCTAACCTAAGTGGTTTTCTATATTTATTATTTCAATATTATATATAATGATTTATTATTTATATACTTCTATATGAATTTATAAATGTATAAATACGTACAGGTACATAGAGATATACATATATGTATGTTACATTTATATACATATGTATATTTTTTTAGAATAATATTTTATAACATATATGTAATTATTTTTTAGTGTTTCAGTATTCGGTCATTTATTAAATAATTTTATAACATATGTACAAAAATTAATAATTTAAACCGCAAAGAAAGGAGATTTTTATTCAAATTTCAGAAAACAATTATTGAAACCATCATTTTTCTTTAAATTTATCATGAAAACCAATTTTTAATTATTGTAAAATTATAAAAAGAATAAAATATTAAATAAGATTATGATTTTCTTTGTATATTTTATATATTGTCTGTTAAATGAGGCCACATCTTGTCACTTCTTTAGAACTGAGACTTAAAACCGTATATAATCCGCGAATTTCTCATAAAAAAAAAAGAGAGAAAAGAATGCGACAATGCGTGAAAGTATTGTATGGCATCGTCTATTATCGCCAAGGTTATGTCGATGGTCATAATATAATGGACATATATGTATACAGACGCGAAACTTTCACTGTGTATTAGTAGTATGACAAATCAGTCAGTTAGTATCATTCTTGGCTTTCTGCAATTTTTTGAAAAACTATAAGTCTATAAAACTATAAGTTTCTTATAAGTGATTTAAGTTATTTTATCACTATAACTATTACTTTCTTTTTTTATTCACGATCTGTCACATTTGTTGATTGATTAATAAGTAATATAAAATTAGATTGTTCTAAAATCTTTTATATTGTGATGATTATTTTATTAATTTATTGCACATTTTTATTTCAAATGTTTTACGTGAAAAATACTAGAAATCAATAAATAATGAAAAAAAATTACAAATCAACTGTTTGCTATTTGCTGAATTGTACAAACAAAATCCATATATGAGAACAATAATGAATATCAAATTTCTCGAATGTCATTTACGTAACAAGTCGCGTCTCGTGCGTCTCGCAATATTTTGTATGCGATGCGTCAACTACTGATTTACAAATTCGATATATGTCGAACAACGCGGAGTCTCGCGGCACGTCATGTCATAATAGACCTATTGTTGAACTGCATACGGAATGAGAAATTTAAAATCAAACTTTCAAAAAATTGAAAGTTAAAAATCTCAAAAAATTAAAATTAAAAATGTGGTGTTTAGATTTTATTTGGAATTTAAAATAAAAAATGTTGTATTTTTTTAAATTTAAAGATATAAATAAAATGTGTGTGTAAATGTGAATTCGCATTAAATTTACGTGCAAATTTCGAATTTGTGTATTAGAGATAATTTTCTTATTAAATTTATGAAAGCTAAAAAATTTAATGCATCCGCACATTTCGCGCGATTTCCATTGGATTACTGAGGATATCCGTGACATTAAATAATTATATACATATGTTAACCGATGACGATGTTTCTTTGATCGTCGCCAAATGCGCACGTTGGTGCAAAATTACGAAGAGACGCGCAAATAATTTGCATACAGTATTCTCATACATAACAAATTTCTATAAAACTATTCCGTATTCCATTCACGATATTTATTGGTGCATATTTTAAATCGCATGCATTTATTATAGCAGCATATTGTCATTTTGTATAATTTAAATATTTCAGAGCCACAGTATTTTACTAATTTATTATTACAGTTATTTTGCGTAATGTTTTCTTAATAAAATAAGACATCAATAAATGACCATTAACGCAGAATGGATTCACAGCGTTTAATTAATCACTAAACGAATATTATTATCTTTGCCGCGGCTAATAACCGCGGAATCCGGAATGTCTATTTAGCTGATTGAAAGTCACTGTGGAATGCCTAGAAGTCGCAAGGAATGGCGTAATTTCATGTCATCTCGCAAATTAAGATTCAGGTCACGATTAAGGGATCATATTACGCAAATAATTTTCACAATCTAGATAAGACTCTGCACGAGACTCTGACACTCGTCCAACTCATTTGTTATCGAAGATACAATACTTACAGTACATTATGTGACTTACTCTCGTGAGAAATTACTTTTTTTTTTATACCTCTGTTGCATTTTTAATATATCGTTGTATTCGAAAGTGTGGCACACATTTCAGTTTCCGCTTCATGAAACAATAATTGATGCAATTTTTTTGAGTCGATTCAAAAAGTAGACTACATACTTTGCTCTCGAAGACAAGACGAAGACTTTTTGTTGCGAAAGAAACTTTACGAAATGCGAAGTAGATAGACATTTTCGAGCGGTAAGTCGAACAGACGGACTTCTGAGTGCACCGTGAGATTGTCAGTTCATAGAACCCGGTTTATACTTGCAATCTCCATCGAATTCTTGAGCAGTGACTCGCGACGCTTGCGGAAGTCTGACGAAATAGCGAATAAATGGTTTCTTCTCATCACAAGAGGTTTGTCCCTCATTACCTTATTATTATCCGGAAAACACTGTCTCCGGTACGCCTGTCCTCCTTGACGAGAACGCAGGAACACACTTGACACAATGATTACGTGTGTGCGCTATATAAAATCGGTCATTACACTGGCATTATCGTGACTCGCTATAATCTCGCGTAATCTTAATCTTTGAAATTGATACGTTTATGGCGGAATTCGTGTGTGTGTGAAGATATCTTGGATTTTTGCGTAGACTTCTTAATTACACTTATTAATTACAAACTTGTAAGTTAAACTTGATGTGTTAAAAACAGATAAAATAAGAATGATTCAAAACGAATTTAACACTTCAAAAACTTATTTCTCACAATTAGTGACCAAGCGAGAGATCAGAGATCAAGTTTCTCAACAGATTTAACGCTCAATTTAGCACCGTGAAAAATATTTATCAAGGAATCTCTGAAGCGCGCGATAAAGGCAGCAGCGATAAATTTTTTAAAATGTTTAATTTTTTTTAAATTATTTTATATATTGAAATTTACGTCGGTTTGAGAAAAGATTTATAAATAAAACGTTCTATAACGATAAATTTGCTCTGAGATTACTATATTTATTATTATTACTAATATATAATTATTAATTATTTTGGGTCAAATAAATTACAAAATTGTTTCTTTCACAGCGGTACTTTATCTTATATATTTATATCAATCCATTATCTTGTTAGAAAGTTCAACTATTTCTGCCCAGAGAGATGATACATTATATCATTAAATGATGTAAATTGCAAGCTGTCCACTATAATCTATAGTCTTGTTAGAGTGTCAACTATCCTCAAAACTTCTCACGGTCGCGCGCAGAACTGCTCTTGTAAAGCGGAATTAACCGATTTTGCTCGTAAACTTTACTACATGTGAAATCATCTTTCTTCTCGACCAATAATTTCAAATACAAGCGGACAGAATTACCGGAGCGGAGAGTGTGAGAGAGCAATCTTTGCGCATTCCATCGGCGTGCGAGGACGGCCGATAAATCGCACTTCCTTGATCACCTTGATTCCGTCTTTTTATGGAACCGGCGTGTAATGTTTCCGGCACCAATCACATCGCCACATATGATTATTGGAATAACGTTATTGAATGATATTAAGTACCGATTGCAACATAGCCAGCTGATATTAAGATTAAGTGGTAGAGATAAGTAATAGAAATATCCATATGCTGGCATCTCTTTTGCTAAGTGGCAGATCAATTTTCTTGTTTTTGTGTTTGTCACAAAAGCTCTAAAAACACTCAATTCAGTTTTTTAAGCATCAAACTTTTAGATTTTTAACAAATATTTAAATTATAAAATTGCTGATTATTTATCGCGTTTGAAACATATTTAGAAAATTAATTAAAAAGTTTTGCTTACAAATAATTTAAGTCAGTGCCACGAAATTTTAAACATGGTATTAATATTTTATGAGATTAGTCTTGTGATATTTTATGACTCTGCATTTTGAAGGGAAGCTTTTAATACTTTTCTATCAAATTTCCGCTAGAAAAAATCGATTTCAAAATCATTAGAAGATCCATTAAGCAAGCGTCTTATGTAAGCTACTTCCGCAATGTTTCACATTTTGGAGATTAGCCGTAGATTTCGCAATGCAGCTTTCTACTCATGGCGATTACTCACGTCATTGCCGAACGATCTATCACGCTTCGCACCTATAGCATAATGACCATAAAAAAGAAGGCAACGCCGATGGAATAGATCAACGTGATCCGTATCGCAAAGCGGGCGATTGGCATGTGTCCAAAAACGTGTCCAAACTTGAATTAGGTCATCGCTTGTAACTAGATGGTTTGTTGCGGGAAGAATTCGTTTCTCTTATCTATCATCTTGTGCATTTTTATTATGAAGAACGACGTGGGTAATTGCATCCGTGTAATTTTCTAACGTGTAATTTAGAACACCGAAGTGATTGGATAGCAAAATTGTTCTCCCCAAGATTGTTATGATCGTGTAAAAACATGGACCTTTTTTAATCATATCAGCATGGCTTTGAAGCTTTTTTATTGATGTTTAATTTATGTTATTGTAAAATATTAGGCCACTTTTAATATTTACGCGTTTGAAAATTATGATCAATATTATTTATGATAGTTCTTTGTTCTCAGTGCAGTACGAACGAATTAATGCATTGACACAGAAGTTTACCTGCATTCTTATCGAGTACTTTCTACTTCCCGTATATTTTTTATCACGTTGTTTTCCGCTAGTTTTCACAAAAACGACTTGTCCTAAATACTCGGCGCAAGAACACGGATCAGAATTAATTTACCGTCCGCAATTGATTAGCGTGAATCTGCGAGAGTGATGCGCATAGCATAAAATGTGAAGACGAAGCGAGAAAAGTGGAACGTGGCTGTCTCGTGCTATTTCAGCGATAAACCGCAATCTACGTAGTTGCGGCATTGAAAAACGGCGATGTCCGATCGAGATGCTATTTTTCGCTCGTTCTATTTCAAGTAATACCTGCAAACGTCCGTCGAAATTGACAACCGAGCCATTTTAATCAAAAATAAGGCTCTTAATCCACTCAATTTTATATATCTTTCAAACTATGTTTATAGAACGTCTTAAATAGGAGATTAGTTTTTCAATGGAACATTGAATTACATTTCTTAGATTATTTACTAAACGTAAGTTTAAATTAGTTTCTTTTCTAACAAATATCTTTTTATTTCAGCGAATGTCAGAGACTATTGAGCAGAATACTGGACGATATGGGCGAGGCATCGGCGAAGGCTCAAGGACTCAACAAGCCCATCACCAGCGCCCTTAAACTCCGAGACACAGATCACACGATTTACTTGCTCGTAGATAATGAAGCAAATAAGTAAGTCCTTATCATTTACGTAAGTTTACTTGGGATATAATACAATATAATACTTGGGATATCTATTATTGAACTATTTCCACTTGAAATGCGCTATTCGCTGAAATGGAAATAGAAATTTTCCAAATTTCTCTTGTGGATCAAAAGCTCTTTTTTGTAAATCTGGTATAATCTTCGAAGTTCCAAATGCCTTTTCAGAAATTTTAAATTAAATTATAATTAGATTATGATTACTTGGATTATTTTTACACTCGAAATAATGGAAGCAAAAATTTAAAAATTCTTAATGTTGGAATTGAGATATTTGAAATGTGTGTCGCTGCAGAGAGATGGGTGTTTTCTAAGCTAAGGGGATGGAAACTCGTGGATCGATGTGCCGAGCTCTGGGCTTAACTCGACACTACGGATATCTATTCATCTTCCGAATTCTCTCTAAAAGCAACACACGACTCTCAACGTTTTATTTACATAACTCGCCTGTACTTAAGACTGCTTAATTAAGGAACTACGTAATACTCAGTGTAATCTATAAAGAATCCCAGAATTACCGAGCATATCTTTTATTTACGGATAATTTATGTACCTTTGATTAATTTTGCATCAATTTTTTAGCGCAATGTCACAGCGTCATAGAAACTTGTAATTTTCATCACAATTTCGCAGATTGCAGAGTATATTCTCTAATCCAGGCTCAAATTGAAATTACTGTTTAAATTAGAAACGCAAAACCTATCTGCAATTAACAATAGAATATGATTTTGCGACGCGTTTCCCATTTTGGAACTTAATTATTAAAGACAATGTCACGTTTCTCGTTGCTTATAAATAAAGATAAAGGTTCCCACTGTGAAAAATGGTATGAGATATGCGTCAGACCATACGCAGGTATTACGCATCACTTAGCAATCATTAAAACGACGTAACGATATAACATAGCGTCCTTCGAAGATGTCTCGCGTGCGATGGTGAATCATTCGCGTAAATCGCTCATATTGTTCGATTTTGCAGCGGACTGGGCAGCGTGGTAGGATTACTGAAGACAGGATCGAAGAATCTGTTTCTCTTCGACGAGACGGGGGAGCATTATCAACTGCAGGCGAGATGCATCTTGGACTTCTACGTGCACGAGTCGCGGCAACGTATGGGCCTGGGCAACACTCTATATCAGTACATGTTATCCGTAAGTACAACGCACACACACATACACACACACGCTACATATTCCTAAATTATATTTAACCTTGGACTATTGCTATGGATGAAGAAAATGACCGTGATTTAACATGCAGTTATTTCTGACCTGCATCGATCGCAATAAATTAATTAAAAAATTAATAACTGAAAACTACGCGTTTTAGTTTCTCTCTCTTTTGGCGTTATTAAAAAAATTACATCTTTAATCACAACTTTGGGTGAAATTTGACCTACGAGAAATAAAGATGAACTGTTTTATTGTGTAGAAGAATGAAATTTTTCTACAATGCTTCTAAAATATATTGAAAGAAGACGATTTAATTAATGGAACATTTTCTCTCGATAATTGTATGTTAATGAGTTCGCGAGAAACGGGTCGTTCTCACGCGAGGAAAGAGAGAGAGTTTCCGCTATAAGATACGGGCTTCCTCGCTCGCGGACAAATCTTCGATGCACCAGTACAAGGTATAATTACTTCCTGCACGGGAGCAGAAGGCGTCGCGCGCGATCACGATTTAGATCGCTATCGTTAAAGCTCCGTATAAAACAAAAGCTCGTTGCAATCGTGCTGCGCAGTAATAAAGAAATAAATAATATTTGCCTAATAGAGGGACGATAATTATTTTAAGCAATTTATAAGTGACGCGTAAAATAAAACTGTTGAAAATTAGGCGTTAATATAATATAATTGAAAGAATTATTTGATTAGAAAAATTTAAATAATTATTCTGAAAATATAAATATTCTTTGCCGAAGATTTTATTCCATTTTGATGAAATGAATATTGAATGAAAAAATATGCGAGTGTTTATGCAAGTAGAACGTGTCGAAAAATATGAAAAATTATGCAGAGAGTAATTTCATGGATTATTTCGCTGAAATGTATGCAATGTATATTGATGATAGCATATCGTCAATACATCAGTGTTATCAATGTATCGCGTGAGAGTTTAAACAATTGATTTTGCTACGTATACGTAAAATATAGAATATATGCATATGTAAGTTAGTTAACTAAAACATATGCATTATGCAAATTATTCTTTCGTAATTTTTCTATTGATTGTAATATTTTAACTATAAGCTGTAACACACACAAACAATTTATATTATATTTTAAAAACGTATTAAACGTTTATACGTATTGATCAATTGCAGAATATACAGAAATCAGAATAAACAACTATTTTGAGAAGAAAATTTTAGACTAAAATAATTTATTTCTCGAGGTAAAACATGAAATTCACGTAACAAAGAGAAAAACGTAGGATTCCGTAAACTGCCTTTCGTTCCGCTCGAGGACCTAAAACCCTGAAATCGGTGTCACGTGAGAACAAGTGCACAGAACTGTAACGAAAGGAGACAGTTATTTTTTTTATTCTCTTGCGTAACCTGCTTAGAATATAAAATATTCGCGCTATAAGATTTACAAAAGACGTAGATCATATTTTAAATTTTATATTCTATAAATTTATTTATTCTTTACTTAAAATAGATTTTTTAAATTTTATCATAAATTTTAAAAACAGACCAATTACACATATTGCGCTTTTAAATCCGAAATAATTATTTGAATAAAAGATAATACATATATAAATATTTATTATGTTTACTGTGCAATTTTAAATAAATTGGTTGGAACCTACCGGTTTTGCGATGTTTATCTACACTTTATCTTAAGTTAAAATAATTAATTATTGTGGCGAAAAGTATTTAATTACACGGTCAGAAGAGATAGAACGGTGAATACATCAAGCTCACGTGCCAGCATCATGTTCAACTGTGCTCGAAGCACTTGTTAAGATTTCTCTACAAATAACACGCATCCAATTCCCAATCGAATACAGTAAAACTTAAAACACGATACCTGACTAAAACTCATGTCCATTATTGCGCGATTATTTCCCTTCGCTCTCACGTCACATTATGAGTCATTCGAAAGTATGACGTCATAATTATTGGTGTACTTATTGAACGTTACTATCATCAATGAAACTGAAGATATACGCGTTTCTCGTACAATATATGACCTTTCCTTTGAAAAATGTTATAAGAAAAATTATGTAAATTGGCTGGTAACATAAGAAAATTGAGGATAAAAATATTCCAGAAAGATTGTAAGAAGAAAAGTCCCATAAAATGTCTCGACAATTTAAATTCAACAATGTCACATTTTTCCAGCACATAGATTTAACGCAAAGCATTATATGCTTGGGAGCATTTTTAGACAGAAAAATTTACAACATTTTCTGTAAATGTGGCTTTTATATGACTTTTTTTTAAGAGTAGCACGTTTTTTTATGATTTTTGCCCTAGAAAGATGTGGTCCATTCATCTTTCTGTGAAAGCCATTTCGAAACGCTGCATCAGACACAAAGGCGCATTTGCGCTACGTAACGTTCGCTATTATGAGAGCGCGTACCTTTCGCACAAGGCTCTTATTTTCTCTTTACGCACAATGATCTATCGTATTCTGCGGCACACGGCGGTCAGAAAGTAGTGCTCAACATTGCGGGTTTTGTCAATGTCAATGAAGTTTATGACACTGCGGCACAATCGCTGTAATAGCCATCATTAAATAACAGTAATCCGCTGCTATCGTTATTTTCACTGCAAAAGCTACAAAAGTTACGGAAGCTACGAAAGTTATTGCAGAATTAATTAAACCAGCGTTAATTAAACATACTACACTGCGACGCGATTATCGTAACAACTGTTATTAGATGCGGCTACAATGTAATCCCCGCTGTTGTTTCTTACTGCGGAAGTTATGAAAGTTACTTAATATTTTAAAATTAACGGAAGAAAATTTTACTAGTTTGCCGCTTACTTTGGTACATTTACTTTGTGAAATTTTTGCGTGCAATTGAACTCTCTAGCGGAATATCGAAGAATGCTATAAATTTTCAGACTTCTACATTATAACGGACGATAATGGGAAGTTATAATTTCTCATGAAGTTATAATATCTCATATTAAATTATAATTTCCAGCATAATTAAAAAGAAAATAACAAGTTGATGCTAAGACTATAATTTTATAAAGTGCGCCTTACACTCGAATATAGATAATCAAAAAATACTGAAATCTACTTTACGAATGAATATTAATAAATGTATAATTTATACAGAAACTATAAGAAATGAATAAATAAATATCGTACGTATTAAGTTTAGAAAGCGTATTTTTCGTTGATAAAAGTCTAAAGTCAGGATCAAAATTTCGTAACGCACGAGCTATCGCTAATTAAGCTCTCATGAAGTATATTAACACGTGCTAATTGAATATCCGAGAGCCTTTAATTGAGACTTATTAAATTTTATTTTTATTTTAAAAGTAAAGAAAATTGCTTAAGCATGAACATGTTATTATCTTAACGTCAACGTTGATACGATCTGCAACTTCGTATAAAACGCGTTGTATTATAAAAGATCCCTTATCTTACGGGGCTATAATTTTATAACGATCGGGCTATTTCGTGGTCGCGGACGACTTTCTCGCAAGTTACGGCTAGAGATGTAGCGCGCAAAAAACGTGAGTGATCTTAAATAAACGCGTGACAAAAGATCATTATACGTAGAGGTAGGTAGGTGTTACGCTCGAAGGCAACTCGCAAGGTGACTGAACTCGTGCAGTCCGTTTGTTTCGGTACGGTTCACCGATTTGTACGCAGTAATCATCGTGTTTTCTCCTAATTCTGTTACTTTTACTACGGAATAGCTGATATTGGAAACTTTAGTTCCGTGTTAAACGCACTAAATCGCTCGGCACGAGTCTGGGCTCTCACCGAACGATGAAAGTTAATTATACTTACACAGCTATATTATTTGGCCATTACATACATACGAATAAATATATTAAATTATTGAAGAGAAATATAGATACAAATCTATAATTTTAATGTTTCTTCTTTGCAGAAATGAATGGAAATTAATATTAATTTTGAATTGGGATCAATAGCTTTTATGTTCTATGATACTTAACTCTTATAAATTTGAAGTACCTATAAATAATTGAAAACAATTTAATTTTGTTTCTTTTTATTATTCTTGTACTATTTTTTTCCTTTATTTTATTTATATTTTTTCTTTATCATCATATATCATTACTTCTAATAAAATGTGTTTTAATTAATAGGAGGAGAACATTAGACCAGTGAAATTGGCGATCGATCGGCCGTCAGAAAAGTTCTTAGCTTTCCTGAACAAATATTACGGACTCTCAAAGATCATTTCACAGAACAACAAATTCGTCGTTTTTGAGGGATTCTTCAATGACGGTATGTAATTATTTTTTTTACACATATCATCATCGATTTATGCAATATATAAGTAAAGAAACATTACATAATTTTTTATATTTATAAGCACACTATGATAAGAAAAATCTTATAACAAAATATTGAATCAGACAATGTGATAATTTTGTTGCTCAGTCGTGCAATTTTCTACGATTGTTTCCATTTCTAAGGAGAATGATTCTCATGATTATTCCGCCCTCATAGTTACGAGTAATGAAGGGTATGAATATGGAGCATGAGATAAGCAACGAAAAGAAAGGGTGCGGATAAAAAGAGGGAGAACCTCTTATTATCCTGATACTATTAGGGTGGAATCGAGGAAGACCAATATTTCTGTTTTGTCAATAAGAAATATCGAACAAGAAACAGTAAAATAATTATATTAAAAAATATAATAACGTTATGAAGAATTACGTTAAAATAAGTTGATATTATATAAAATATGGAGTTTTAAATAAGAAATATTAGTTTGTGCGTTGACCAAAATGCAAAAATTTATTAAAATAATAAAATAAATTAGTTTTTTTATGATTTGCAAAAATTGCCCAACTAAAATGTTGATTGTAATATATTTACAATATTTTAAAAACTTGGACATAATAAACTGTTTATTGCGAGTCTGTTTATTGATGACTAAACTGTTTATTGATGAAGTATCAGGAAACACTATCTTTCGTTTTAATAATATTAAATATCTTTAGTGCTCGCTGAATCTCCAGAATATATTATAGTGGTACTAGTTTCATTAGCATAGACATAAATCTTTTTCTCTGTGTCAAAGTGACATTATGTTTCAAATTTTATTTTGCTCACAATAAGGCGGCAATGAACGACTGTTTTCGGCCAATACTCCATGACGTGTGCAGCCAAAAATAAGTCTCACGTCGAGAACCTGTCGTAAAAATCTACTCTGATAATTTTTTTTTCGCGTACGCGTTATCAGAGATATATACGATAAACATTAATATGCGATTTCCGTATGAAATATGCGCAAGATCAATGCGAGATGAATATTTTAAAGAATATTTTTTACAATAATGATCAAGTTAAAAAATGATTGTGATGGATCGCGTTTTTCTTCCTCTTTTTACTTCCTGTGAATGATTACTTTCGATTCGATTCTTTCTTCACTTTTACGTTGTAGCGAAAGTCCTCGCGATCTTCAAGGTGTCTACCAAACAGACTGCAAGGCTAGACATTGCCGATCTTGTTCCGAAGGTCAAGCTGCTTTATCGGGCGATTACTCGCGTCGAGTCTCGCGTCCTAAATCGGCAATATGTGCTCGGGGAGACGCAAAATCGCGGCCAATGCCGCAGCGAAAGCGATTTATGCTTCGCTTATGTCCGCGATCGATCAAAGTCCCGACCCTAGATGTCGAGCGGTTGCTTGAGTCACATTTATGCTGATTATGCAGGGTTCGCTCCAATTTTCTTGATAACGGCGAACGTGTCTCTCATGAGAAATTGATGTCCCTGAACGCTTTATCCAACAAAATGAAATATTAAATATGGAGAAGGATATATGACCGCAAGATAACGAATGACTGACACAACAAAATATTAGACGTC